GGGTCCGTCACCATCGTCTTTGTTACCCTGATGCTTTGGCTCTCTACAAAGTATTAATGCACATTAAATAAGTCCTTGTTAAGATTGGTGAACCACTTCAATTTTTCGGGACATTATACAAGGAATCTCCATCCTAAACTCACAATCTGAGGTCATTCTAGGCATTGAGCTCTTGAAATTAATTTCACACGAAAATGCAAGCAAATGATAACTTGATTAAAAACGCAACAAGCATTCAAACCTTATAATACGGATGATCATAAAGTGGACATAAGCAGTGATAGATTAACCAGAGAATTAACAGCTTTATTGACGATCATTTAATCATAAAGACATTATCACCCCTTACCTCCATCAGGTTCATTTGAAGTAACAGCATTGGCATTTCCAATTCCAGGAACTGAGACCACCTCGCTTACTGGAGACCATGAGCACAAACAGTATCCAAAATTAAGCAAGATGATCACAGTTTTCAAACACATCGTCAATTATAAAGGGTAAAGAACCAAAGTATAGAATTTAAGTACACTCTAACTGAACTAACATCATTTATTGATAAAAAACCAGTACAGAATTCTTTTCTTGGATGGAAAGAAGCTCACCCACATATGGGAACCCAGTATGCAGTGGGACTAATGATACAAAAAGAGACTCAAGATATCATGAATTAGAGCGAACTAATGAGAAAAAAAAGAGACTTAGGATATTATGAATTAGAGCAACTATGGTAGCTCCTCTGTAAATATTCTAATTGGGAACATATTCATACTTGAATAACTTGCAAACACATAAATTAAATCTTGTAATGAATATTTATTGCTTGCATAGATACAAGCTACATAGTGAATATAAATATATATATATATATATATATATAAATACATTCCATCAATTAAATTGAAATAATACCTCCAAATGTGAAAGGGCTATCATTATTAAAGAGAAGTGCAGGTCTCCATGGGGTTCCAGAGCTTGCTGTTGTGGCTGCAGGAAACATAGGTTCGTACGAAAACAATGTCAGACCAGGTTTGTCTGGAAACAATGCGTGACTGCTTTTGTCAGTTCCGAATAGAGGCGCTGTCTGAGCATCTTCAGATGGAATATTGGCTGTACCCCCTCGTTCCACGGCATTTG